TCTCTCTCCCCTGGCTGTCTCTTCTCTCTCCTGGCCGTCTCTCCTCACTCACTCACTCTCCTGTCTGTCTCTCCTCTCTCTCTCCTGGCTGTCTCTTCTCACTTTCTCCCCTGGCTGTCTCTTCTCGCTTTCTCCCCTGGCTGTCTCTTCTCGCTTTCTCCCCTGGCTGTGTCTCTTCACTCATCCTCCTGGCTGTCTCTCCTCACTCTGTCCTGGCTGTCTCTCCTCACTCTCTCTCCTGGCTGTCTGTAATATCATCCTCCTAGCTGTCTCTCCTCACTCTCTCCCCTTGCTGTCTCTCCTCTCTCTCTTTCTCGTCTCTCCTCACTCTCTGTCCTGGCTTTCTCTCTCTCTCTCTCTCTCTCTCTCTCTCTCTCTCTCTCTCTCTCTCTCTTTCCTGGCTGTCTCACCTTACTCTCTCCTCTGGCTGTCTCTCTCTGGCTGTGGGGGCCTCACAATGTCTAGAGCCGCCTCTGGTCACCGAGCTTCTAAGTCCACCCATGAGGCCAACTGACCGCACAGAAATGGCTTTTCTCCATATTACTTCCAACAAAGAACAATAAACCTGACGACATTGTGCTAATATCCGAGATGAAGGCGTAGAACTTCCCGCCACTTATCAGCCGTCACACATACAAAGACAGATGATGGAATATTTGTTTTTTGTATGTAGAAGGTTCATTCCAAAATTGGAAACTTTCCGCAATCTGCGCATCACACGGCTCTTCAATGGATGTGTTTCGGCATCCAGCAGGTTACTACACATAGAAATATCTTTAAAATACATATTTTGGTTTAAAGCCCCGTTCACATTGAGCGATTTATCGCGCGGTAATTCCCGCGATATCGCGGCAAATTACCGCGCGATATCGCCCCCCAATGCATTTCAATGGGGCAAAGGGTCCTGCTGTCGCGGGTCGTGTGTCGCTACAGCAGGACCCTTTTTGGAGCGGATTTAGCCGCGATTCAAGCTTGCTCAATGCAAGCTTGAACGCGATATTGCGCGGCAAATCGCACGATATCGCGCAATATGCAAATCGCTCGCCAAACGCGTGATTTGCATATCGCGCAGTGGGAATGGGGCCTTAATCAGCGGTTCTCAACCTGCGTAACCTCCGGACCCCCATTTTTCCTCGGTCATTAAGTCGCGACCCAAGTCGCACCGCACTGGAACGCACGGCATTGCAGCACAGTAGACATGTGCAGCGGCTAAAAATTTGTTTCGTTTGGTTTAGTTTCGGATTTTGTTTATTCCATTTTTGGAATTCGGATCCTATATGTGTTTTGTTTCGGGAATCGGATTCGTATTCGGATCTGATTCGGAATTTGGACGAATTCCCGAAAATTCCACTTGAGGTGGGGGAGCAGAATTGGCACATTTGTCATCTCTGGTTGGCTGTGCTCTCGTCTATACTATTGAAGGGACATTAAAATACTTTTCTCAATTTGTTTTTATCCGTTTAAATGTTAACACAGCGCACGCACAGGAATTGGACGAAATTCGTTCCAAATCCGAAATTTCGGATTCGAAATTTCGGATTCGGATGCTTTCGGATAGTATTATTATTATTATTACATAGTATTTATATAGCGCCAACAGTTTGCGCAGCGCTTTACAATATAAGGAAGACATTACAGTTACAATACAATTCAAGACAAGATGGTAAGGAGGGCCCTGCCCCTGAGGGCTTACAATCTAAAAGGGAGGGGCCAGTGATACATGAGGAGGTAGCTGTGTGGGGATGAATTGTTTGAGAATGTGATGGTTCAGTGGTTAGGTTGAGGTGGGATAGGCTTCCCTGAAGAGATGAGTCTTAAGGGATCGCCTAAAGGCAGTCAAGGTGGGAGATAGACGGACAGGTTGGGGTAAGGAGTTCCAGAGGATGGGAGAGAGAAGTTCTGGAGGCGAGTATGGGAGGAGTGGACAAGGGAGCTGGAAAGCAGGAGGTCAATGGATAAGCGGAGGGGACGTTTAGGGTGATACTTTGAGAAAAGGTCTGAGATATAGCCGGGGGAAGAGTTGTGGATGGATTTGTAGGTGACTGTTAATATTTTTAATTGTATCCTCTGGGCGAGTGGAAGCCAGTGCAGGGATTGGACAAGGGAGTGGATGAGTAATTTTGCGGTGTCATTGGTGAGGAAGGGGCGTATTTTGGAGATGTTAGGAAGGTGGAGGCGGCATGATTTGGTGATTGGATGTGGGGAAGAAAGGTGAGGTCCGAGTCCAGGATGACACCTAGGACCTTGGCATGAAGGGAGGGTTATATAGTTGTGTAATCAATCACAACTGAAATGTTGGGGGATATGTTATATTTTCGGAAATTCGAATGCTCCGAATCTACGAATTTTCAAAATTTCGTCCGAATTTCGATTCGGGAAGAAAACGAATGGCACATGTCTACAGCACAGCATGTTCCGGTGCAAGCGATCAAACTGTGGGCGGGAGGTGTGTTTGGGGTGTCGTTCAAACGAATTACCGCGCCTCACGCCCTTCCCGCACCAGAACAAACAGCAGGTGCCATTGCGTGGTAGTTTGCGATTAGAACACTGACAGACACACACAACCACAGACACAATCTCACACACTCACAGACATTCTCACACACACATACACACTCCCCAAAAATGTTTTAGGGGTTCAGTGTGGGCTGCTGTGCTGTGATGGAGTTCCATCCATACGTGCGTTGCTTGTACTCCCTGTAGAGGTGCCGGGAGTCAGAATGTGAGCTCCCTCGCGGTCGTACCTCAAGCCCACCTCACCTCAAGCTGACACTCGGCACCGAGCAGAATGTTTTGAATGGATGCTCAGCGTGGGAGCTGACAGTGCTTCCCTATGGGGGAGACTGAGGAGCCTCTCAGTGCAGTGGAAGGCATGCGGCCACTCACTGAACATGGGATCAAGAACTCTGCACTCCTTACCGGAATAGTAGTAAACCTGCCAAGCAGGTGGGTGCTTGTAGTGACCACAGACGGCCCCGTGAACAATGCAGATCTAGAAAGGATTGTCACCAGCACACCAGAAGTTTTGAAGCAAAAAGTCCTTTATTGACAAATCGCCATCCAATACAAGCGCTTTCGGGGTCTCAGCAGTACCCCTTCATCAGGCTCAGAATGATTTGTCAATAAAGGACTTTTTGCTTCAAAACTTTTGGTGTGCTGGTGACAATCCTTTCTAGATCGTCACTGAACATGGGGTCGCGACCCACTGAACATGGGGTTGCGATCCACTTTTGGGTCACGACCCACCGGTTGAGAACCACGGGTTTAAAGTACGCGGATGACCCTCCAAAATTATTCAGTTCAGGTGTTTCAGGCACACTCAGTGCTAACAGGTACATCAAGTCAAGGGGCTGCCCATGAAAACTCAATTGACAAACATTAGAACACAAAGACATTTCAGACAATGGTGCGCTTCCCAAAAAAATGGCAACAGTTTGGGGAAGACCCTTTTCTGTTCTAGCATGACTGTGCACAATGCTGAGCCTATGAAGACATGGTTTGATGGGTTTGGTGTGGAGGAACATGAGTGGTCCACTCAAAGACCTGACCTCAACCCTACTGACCAACTTTGGGATGAATTGGAACTCTGATTGTGAGCCGGGTCTTCTCAACCAACATCAGTACCTGACCTAGTACATGGACACAAATTCCCACAGACACACTCAGGGCCGGATTTACTCTCTTTGCTGCCCCAAGGCCAGGTTGCTCAATACGCCCCCTACCTGCCACCCCCCATGGAGAATGGCAGACCCGCAGGCTGCATACGACTGATCCCGGGAACATCCCTGAACAATTAAAATGATGCCCCAAGGCCGGGCCTTGGTTGGCCCTGTGGGAAATCCGGCCCTGGGCATACTCCAAAATCTTGTGGAAAGCCTTCCCAGAAGAGTGGATATAATATATAGGGAGCCAACTCCATATTGATACCCATGGGATTCCAACAAACTTATATAGAGTTTGATGGTCAGGTGTCTGCTTGGTCACGTAATATATTTTGGTTGCTAGTTTTAAAATGAACACTTGCACAGGAAATCTCTATTCCAGATTGACCTTACTCAGATCTAGCAATAACTAAACTATCAGCATACAGCATGTATCAGATTTACTATCAGGGGTGAACATACCCAGGGCCGGCGCTAGACTATTTTGCGCCCTAGGCAAGACCAGCTGCTTGCACCCTCCCAGCCCCCCTCCAGCACTGAAAAAGCTGTCTCTTAGTATCGCTCCCCTGCTCTGTGGGCGGGTGCAATAGCCAGCCTGCTATTGGCATTTGCAATTTGAAATAGAGGGAAGTGGCCGAGGCTGCTCCCCAGGTAGCAGTGCGCCCTAGGCGGCTGCTTAGTCTGCCTAGTGGCAGCACCGGCCCTGAACATACCCCATGGTGAGAACCTCTGCGCTCGAATATTTTAGGGGTTCAGTGCAATAGCCAGCCTGCTATTGGCATTTGCAATTTGAAATAGAGGGAAGTGGCCGAGGCTGCTCCCCAGGTAGCAGTGCGCCGTAGGCGGCTGCTTAGTCTGCCTAGTGGCAGCACCGGCCCTGAACATACCCCATGGTGAGAACCTCTGCGCTCGAATATTTGCCCTCAATTCTCTGTAATTCACAGGCATGGTGTGTGCGTGGTTGGTCTATGGAAAGATTTTTTTAGAACAGTCACTTGGCATCATCTTTTCATTTTTGTTTTCTCTATTAGGAGATCATTGCGAGGCCAATGAATGAGCTCCATAGTATGTCCTTTCGTGCTTCACGTCCTTGTCACCCGTAGAAAAGAAAACAGATACCATTTTTATGTCTGGATAATTACAAACCAGCGTTGGAGGTGTCTCATACCCTGCCCATGTGCCGCCTCTGCTGGGTGTTCTTTCGAGTTACTGAAACTGAGCAGATTGAGGGTTACGAGGAAGGAGCCATGCCTTCTTCTTCTTATTGTTTGTTATGGCATTGCTGAAAACACATGCAAACCCTGCCAAGTATTTATATTTGTTGTATTGCACATACTTTCAGGATAACACCGGCTTACCCCTAGTCCTCCTGTTCCTGACTGTTTTCTTACCACACAGCAAGCTGGACATGTACGTCTGATATTGGAAAGATGCATAAAAGTAGATGATAGGATTGAGACAACACCTGATGCTGCTCATACTCGCCGAAAGCATGTAGGCGAAATTCAGAGTGGCGTCGCCGTATTTGTACATCTGCAGGTAGTACGTTAAAAAGATGACATTGGTTGGGCCAAAGGACAGAACGAACACAAAAAGTACGACGGCGGTCAGGTAGACGGCTCGAGATCTCCAATGCGTGCGGGCAACGTTTCCCCCACAGAGGCTGCAGATGGTTCCGATGTAACATAAGGTTATAACGAACAAAGGGATGATAAAGAAAACGATGCGATAGGAAATGAAGTAGTAAAAACTAAAGCCTTCAAACACTTTAGAGTCCTGCACGTCGAAGCAAGTCGTGATGTTGAGTGCAGTAATTGAGAAGGTAAGCCTCGGTATGAGAAGAGGAATGGTGCTGGCCAACGAGATGACCCAGATGATGCCGCACACCAGCCAGGCCCGGTTTACTCTGCGCCAGGAAATAGATCGAATGGGATAGACCACGGCCAGGAAACGGTCCACGCTGATACTGGTCATGAACAGGATGGAGCAGTACTTGTTGCAGTAAAATGATGACATGACAAAGCGACACATTCCTTCTCCGATGAGCCAATTGTTTCCCATGAATCGGTAGACTATGCGGAAAGGCAGGATGCAAACGAAGAGGACATCTGCGGTGGCGAGGTTCAGCATGTAGACCACTGCCGCCTTCCTGACCTTCATCTTCACCAGGAACATGACGATCGCCATGAGATTGAGAGGAAGAGCCACAAGGAACACAACAGTATGGATGGATGGGACAAACTTGGTCAACCACCAACTTGTCATGATGTCCTCATATTCTGAAAAAATGCCGTATTCCATGTAAGACGAGTTCTCAAAATGTATGGTCCATAACGGATTCACATCTGAAAAATGAAAACCAAAATGTTAGTATAAATAACTAGGGCTGGTACTGATTAAAATTTTCGTGTTCGATGAATCAAATTTTTTTTTTTTTATCAATTAATCGATTAATTTCGATTAATTATAACGCACATACAGATCCAACTACATTGGCCTATACACATACAGCACAGCAATGAAGTAATAAAATGTACTAGGATCACACTAATCCAGCACGTTATTAATCTCACGTGCCCCACTCAATATGGCCGCCGCTTGAGTGGGGCAACTCAGAATAATAACGTGCTGGATGAGTGTGATCCTAGTTCTTACTTCATGGCTGTGCTGTATGTGTATAGGCCAATGCCTTGGCTGGCGCTCCTGCAGAACAATTTTCTTGGGCAAACCTCTTAGTTGTAATGAAAACGGAAGTCAGGCGGTCACAGAACTCGATAAGTTCTCAGTGTCGACAGATCACCGGCCCAAGTGGCTCCGTCGGCTAACAAAGGGAAGGGGGAGGGGTCCGGTGACACCAGGGACATCAACGTCACCGTACTCCTCCCCCTTCCCTTCGTTAGCCGACGGAGCCACTTGGGGAAGGGGGGAGGAGTCCGGCGACGTCGATGTCCGTGACGTCACCGGATCTCCGACGGGACTCCCGGAAGAACCGGAAGCCGGCGGAGAGGTGAGTGTTTTCATTACTGATTAAAATTCTCTTGATCGATCAAAAATTCTAACGATTAATCGAGTAATTCATCGTTAATTTCCGCAGCACGATAAATAACACATTGAAATGATCTGCACTCCATACAAGATTAAAAGGGAAGCTCTGGAGATAAATGGTTGTGAAATACAAACATTGAAAATGTATGTTTCAGTACTCCATGGTGTCTTTGTAAAGGGGACACAGTGACGTTGACCATCAGAAACAGTGCATTGGATGGAGACTACTGGGGATCTGTACACGCTGCCATTTTGGCTTGCCAGCAAGCCTATACTATGAATTTAGAATCCTTTACTATGGACTCCTGACTTTGGAGGAGTAACTGCTGATGACTGGGACTGCTGACAAGTACATCCTGGCATGGAATAGTGTCAACATGGTGAACACAGTTCCATAGTTACATAGTATTTGAGGTTGAATAAAGACACCGGTCCATCAAGTTCAACCTATTGTGTGTATGTTTGTGATTCTGCATGTGTATGCGTGTGTACCAGTCCCCATGTGATCTTATTTTTTAAGGGCACCTGTGTAACCCTGTATGTTCTGGTCTCTGAGGAAATTGTCCAAATGCTTTTTGAATGATTCAACACTCTCAGCTGATACCACTGATTGCGGCAGAGAGTTCCAGACCCTAACCGCTCTAACTGAGAAGAAGCCCCGACGCCCCTTGTGCTGAAATCTTTTCTCCACCAGTTTTAGGTGGTGGCCTCTAGTCCTTGTTATGGAGTTTACTGTAAAACGTTTATTGCTGATGTTGCCATCACCATTGAACATCTTATACATCAAAATCATGTCCACCCTCAATCTCCGCACCTCCAGCGTGAACAAGTTTAAGTTTAGTAACCTTGTCTCATAACTTTGCTCCTCCAGCCCCTTAATTAGTTTAGTTGCCCTTCTCTGGAATCTCTCCAGCTCCAGGACATCCTTTCTGTAGATCGGTGACCAAAACTGGACTGCATACTCCAGATGAGACCGAACCAGCGATCTATAAAGTGGCAAAATTATATAGATTTTGGATATCCATGCATTCCCTCTGAGGCCAACTGACTGTTTTCTTATAGATACAAGGGAGACCTTGTATAGGTTCCATCAGACACTACTGCAGGGACATGTCTTGTTCTTGCCCTGATTTAACTTGGGGTAGAGCAGACTCTTTGTAATTTGCAGCTTTAGGACTACTTTTTATTGACAGAGGTCACTTGCAAGTAGATCTTTAAACCAGAATAGTATCCATATGTGGTACATATGTGTAGATCTTGTATAAGTCCATATATTCACTTTCAGGTCATCTGAAGGGAGACCCCTGACAATTTACACTAGACTTTTGCAGTGAGTTTCATCTGATTTCACCCAGAATTGACTTGGGGTGGAGCAGATGTTCCATAATATCCATTGTGGGCTTCCCCTCTTGGAACCCTAACACTAACCCTCCCTATGACCCTAACACTAACCCTCCCAGTAACCCTAACACTATCCCTCCCAGTAACTCCAATACTAACCCTCCTTATAACCTCTACCCTAACCCACCTTGTAGCCCTCACACTAACCCTCCCAGTAACCCCAACACTAACCCTCCTTATAACCTCTACCCTAACCCACCTTGTAGCCCTCACACTAACCCTCCCTGTAACATCCAACACCAACCCTCCTTATAACCTCTACCCTAACCAACCTTGTAGACCCTAACACTAACCCTCCTTATAACCTGTACCCTAACCCACCTTGTAGCCCTAACACTAACCCTCCCTGTAACACTAACCGTCCTTATACCCTCTACCCTAACCCACCTTGTAGACCCTAACACTAACCCTCCTTATAACCCTCACACTAACCCTGCCTGTAACACCAACCTTCCTTATAACCCCAACCCTTACCCACCTTGAAGCCCTAACACTAACCCTCCTTATTACCTAACATTGCATTGTATAGTGGGAAGCACTGAAGGCTCATTGGCACTGGGGGCACATTGTGGGTGCCCTCAGGTTTCATGGGCTCCAGAGGCACTACGCAGCAACAGATTTTATAGTGAGCAGTCCTGATCATCATGTTGCTGCATTCTCCGTATTTCTGGTTGACAGGTTTGATGTGTAAGAGTGTTTTGATCTACGGGGCTTGCTGTGCTGTGAGCACTGAAACAAAAATACGTATGCACAAAGCATCTATTGTTTACTTTCCATGCACATGTTCCACTCCCATTTCCGCAAACACTAAACCTCTATGAAGAAACAATTAACTTAATGTAATTGCCGCCTGTTTCTTAGGCCCATTACAGTGCAGCATGCTTCAACTTAAAGCAAAATCAAATTAGACGAGAAGGCAAAACAAAAAAGGAAACCAGTTCATTCCTCATCCTCTCCAAGGATGAAAAAGGTGAAGAATGTCAGGTAACTAAATGGGAGCCTAGGCCAGCCCTCCCCCGCCGCCCATGGCGTGCCTAAGTCTCAAGAATAGCTGTGGAAGTGAATAGTGAATGAACTAATGTACATCAACGGTATCAAAGTTGCCGAGGACTTCAGCAGATTGTGTTGCCAGAGAAAGCAGCAGACAACAGGCAGAAGAGATGCTAGAGGTGTAAGTTCTCAGGCAGAGGGTCAGAGCCTACAGCAGATAGTAGCAGAGTCAGCAGGCTGATGGTCAGATAAGGTGCAGAAATAGTGCAGGTTCCAGGCAGGAAGACAAAGCACAGACGTCCAAGATCAGGATGAGGTTAAGCGCAATACAAAGAGTTAACAGGGAAATCCAGGGCATGAACATACAGACAGAAGTCTCAGACAGAGGGACCTCTAGCCAGGGCATAACCAAATGGAGAAAACTATTGATCAAGCACCAGCTTGAAGCCCACTAAAGAGGTTGTGCGTGCACAACACAGACCTCAGCTACAGTAGGGTTGCCACCTGTCCAGGATTCACCCGGACAGTCCGGGTTTTGAATGCTGTGTCCGCGTTTCATGGCAGCAGAAACCCGGACACAAGATGTCAGGCAGACAGGGACAACCAAAATTAATATAGAAGCCACTGGCCCCCCCCACTGACAAATAGTCTCAACTGTGATATTTACATATGAATGGGTGGTGCTAATTACATAAGAATAAGCTGTGACTCATTCTCCCCAAAAAAATGTCCGTGCATCGCCAGAGTGTTCGGGTTTCGCTTGATGAAAAAGTGGCAACCCTTGCTACAGTGACAATCAGATGGCAAGGGCTTAAAGCTGATCTTTCTAAAAGTGTAATAGGACAGAAATGTGACAATAATATGACAATCTGATGACCCCAAACTGAGTAGGCAGAATAGGGAGGTCTCACTGTACACAGTGCCACCCTCATTTCCACAAAATTCACAAGTCGGAGACAAAACAATAAGATTTAAATGTAGGGCCAGGCAGAAAGTTGGTAAAATTTCACAGAAACACACCTTTCCTCCACTAAAATAACCAGTACAAGCAGAGCAGGGTGAATAAACCTTACTTAGGCCAGGGTCTGCAAAGCCTCAATAGACTTATGATTAAATCCCGTCCTAACATTGGCATGACATTAAAACCTCTAGTAGAGCCCTCAACAGGCTCTGTGATGTGGTCATCATTTTGTCTTGTAGACCTCCATTAGGCCAGAGCCTGCTAATAGCTGTCATTCATGGTTGGTAAAACAGTCCAAGGCTGCATAAGATCCATATCATGTTTGATGTCTATCAAATTTGTGATTTCATTCTGCTCAATAATATGGCACGTTGTCATCTGGAAATACTGATATCATTTGAATAACTGGCTTTAAGAGAATAACTCCTGAAGCATCACAAAGCACCTCAACACCCCTCAGACCCTCTGACACCTTTTTCAGGGACCAGAAGAGATGGCTGCATCTGCAGCTTGGCAGCTCTCATTTGACACCAATACTGCTAAGGATAATGGAAGAGTAAATATGTACATTTTTTTGCACTGTTTTTCTTTTCTTTCATTAAAATAATATTTAAAAATCATTAAAGGAGAACTTTGGGGTCAGGGCTTTTCCCCATAGTTCTCCTTAGGGTAACAGGAGGACACAAACTAGCGTCCTCCCGTCACCCTAGGCTCAGTATACCGCAAGCTACAGCTCGCGGTATACTGAGACGCCGCAGCTGAAGCGGATCCCGACAATTATGTCTGGATCCGCCCAGCTGCGTCAGTGACAGCTGGCTCTGCCTATCTAGAGACAGAGCCAGCTGTACCCGCCCCCTTCCCGTCCGTTCCGCCAGTCAGCGCTG